ATCGACTTCCAAATTTCAAAAAAAAAAAAAAAATAAATAAATAAAAATAAAATTGAACCAAGATTGAGAGGGTAAGCAGAACTACAGAAACACAAAACCCCACTATGAAAAACTAAGGTTCTTGAAGAGGACCATAAGGCATTCAACTATGTACTGTACATGTGTGCATTGTCGCTGAAAAGATGAGATCCACACCCTCTGCAGTTTGGAAACCAAGTCGACGAAGATGAGGACTTATTGCAGATGCAAACAGATTTTAATATTTAAATGGTAAGGTATTGTTGTAATTAAATGGTTGTTGGAGGTTATTTATGTCTTTTCCCAGTCAATTTTGAGGGTAAAACAGTCATGTACAGGACGGGATTAAAAAATCTCGGGGTCTACCCCGGACAGAAATAATCAGAGAATGAATGATATGCTTGTGGGACCCGCAGACACGTATGCGCCACGTCAGTTCAATTTTATCCCAATCCCTTTATGTAAACGTTAGATATTAAACTTATCCTGTCCTGTCAAGCAAAGTAAACGACCCCTAAGAAACTTTAGGGAGTGATTGGATATTGAGTCATTTTATATCCAATCATCTAATTGAAAATCGAACTCATCAATCTCACACATCACATCAACATTAATTCACTATTCACCCACTCACATAATCTTAACTACCTATCACTTCCTATAATCGCTCCCTTACTTTAACACCATATCAATTTTTCTCATTACATTTTAAATATTATGTAATTTCAAATCTACTTTGTTCAAAATAACTCATTTTAACTCACCAAGTTGGATCATAACCGGTTTAATCCTATCCAATCGCCCCCTCAGTATACAAGAAATGAAGAAAAAGATCCTAGAGAGTCGATTTAAGAGGGTAATGTTGTATTTTGATAAATTCTAAATCGTCACCATCTTATTCCTTTTTTTTTTTCTTTTGCTGTGGTTATTACACGAAATCTCAGGTAGCCCAAAAAAGTTAAAAGTTCGAGAAGGCACATACGCTGCATCTGGTGCGACACCAAAGCTTCCAGACGACTTCTGATCCAGGTCACTAGAAAGTCGTACATTCTTGATCCAACTACATGTTCTTTCTATCAGCTTATCAAACGATGTCAACTTCATGCGCGAAAAGTCCTCCCTACAAGCTGGAATTGGAGCCAAAGGAATTCTTTTTCCCGAAGGCTTAACATCATCGAAAGGACTGTCACCCAAACTTAATGGAAAACATTACAGAAGAAACAGTAAAATATTAGTCAACAGAAAAGAATAATCTTGCATGAAATTTTCGACATAATTGGAAGTACGATTAACAATTCCACTGGATAACCATTTTCCCAAGGTGCAACTACAAATAGAATATAAGACCACATAGCAAAGCTTTCTGAATTTATCTTCACATATTAGTCAAGGTGATTCGGTAAACACCTAAAAATTAAAGTTATTACCTATCGGGCAGAAGATCATCTCCAATCCCTGATACATGAAGGTAATAATCAGAATCCAACTCCCACAGTGCAGGTTTACCTTCCTGGGGCTGGAAGTAGCCCAAAAATCTGTTTAAACCAAGAGCAATTAGAGTTATAAAGTAACACACACACATACAGTTGAAAACTGGAAAAATAGAATCGATAAAAAGGCTCAGTAGAAGTCCAAGAGTTCCAAAATATAAGAAGACTCCAGTATATTTAAGGGAAAAAAAGAATTATAACTCACAAGTTAATTGCATCCTGCTTTTCACCATCCGTATAAGTATTGCTGTAATATCGCTTTATAGACTTTAGAAACTCCTTAGATTGGGTTGTAGCTTTCCATTTCCCTTGCCTCTCAGGAAACACCTATATAACAACCCTTTAGTCGTTATTTTATCCATCACAAATATAGTTAAAATAACAGTAACAAAATAAATAAAAACACTTGTTTTCCATTAAAAGAGGAGTTTACAGTATTGTGTGCAGCTGAGCCACCGTACTGCTGAGCCAAGGCATCACCCATGCTCTGGTACATGTCCATAAGGGCAGCTGCAATGCTACTATCAGGATCCACTTTTGGAATATCTGTCAAGCCCAATGCATGTAGCTGGCGGCCAAGAGCTGCCAGGCCATAAGCGTATTGGGCGACATTTGTCCTATCCAAGCAGTCGATGCAGTTTGTACGCAGAACCCCGCTTTGAAATCTTGGCTCTGAATTAATGTTGATGTCCTTTTGGCTCTGTTGCTTACTTTCGAACACTTTATCTTGCTTGGTTGAGGTTTCAGTGCCACCACCAACTCTCGATAGTTCAACTGAATTAGATCTTAAATCTCGAAGAGAAGATTCCCTGCACGAATGGGGTTTCAGGTTTGATTTAAAGGAATTGAAAAAAAAAAAAAAAACTAATCGGATTTTGTTCTTGGACCTGAAAAGCAGGGATTCACTACTATCCATTCATAAATAATAGTAAATTTTAGTTTCTAGAGAAAATAAAGAGTAAATCATGAAAGAGAGAATGAATAATACCTCCCAGTGCTAGTACGAGTTAATTGTGTAGCCCTTCTTTTAACAACCAAAGGTTTTCCGCTATAATAAAATCCTGTTAAATCAAGTGCTTGGCTTGCAACTCCACCCAAGACTGCTAATACATTGGCAGACTTGCTGGAAAAAGAAAATAAAGAAATTCAAGAACAGTTAGTGGAGAAAGGGGAGGAAAGTCTATGCACGGTCAAAACCACCCATATACCTCTTTGCAAACTTGTGAAAGTCCCAATGAATAAATTTGAGATGTTCTTCTTCTGGGAGTATCTGGTTTAAATACCCCACTGCATTTGCAAACTCGCGCCTCAGCATCATTTCTCGTGGTCTTTTTTCGACAGTCTGTGATCAGATCCCCATAAAAAGGTCAGAAAAAAGAGAGTGTATATACCAAAATTTGACACAGAAACACATAAATCCATCTTTCAACAAAAACAATTCAAAGAATATCATTTGAATCTTTGACACGCCAGTACAAAATAGCACACACCTTAATTAGATTAAGAACAATAATTGGGTTGCCATATCTTTTTTCCAGGTCTTCAAAATGCAGTTTGGTCGCCTCATATGTAGGATCATATCTTTGCACTTCAAATAATAAATAATAATGAGTATTCAAATATTAAAATCTGCCGCAATGAGCGCTGGACTTCAAATTTAAGATTAAATAAAACAGAGACGACATGAAAAATCATTTTACTCACATATAATATCAGGTTTAGGGCTGAATCTTGAGGCTTCTTGTGACCAGAAAAGGGGAATAGAACCCCTCATTTGTACAACAGAACTCATCTTTCCTTTGCACGACCCAGCTTCTTCATCGATAACTATTTGCTCTGTCTCCACATCATTGGCTACCCGCCCGTGATCATTAACTCCTCGCTTAAGGTAACTGCATGAGGATCAAACAAGAGTTATCTTGTGAAATTTATGAAACATTTGGCATTAAAAAGTTGAAGAAATCTCACATTCTTCAGTTTTTACGGGTTTAACTACCATTTTTCAGCATATGAAGATTACAAGGCTAATGCACCTACGAAATGCAATCTAGTTTTCTGTTTTTAATATTATGGCTATTATTAGGGAATAATTAAAAAAAAAAAACAGTGAAGGACAAAATCTTCACAAATTCATTTGTTTAGAAGTGCAACCATTTCTATAGAAATAAAAGATTGGTACATCTAAATTACGATCATCAGAGCACAAAACTGAAAAGCTTTGAAATAGGGCCTACCGTGTTCCAGCAAAATGGCGAGAGCGTCTCGAGACCAAAGAAACACTAAAATCTCTTCCAAAAATTGATAGTCTAACCTGTACATAGTCAATTGGAAGAAGAAATTTCTATAAAAAAGATGGTATATAGAACAATTAAGCACGCATCTATCTCACTTTAAAAAAATACTCAAGATTGTATAGTCCACAAGCAATTCTCTCTTGGAACATACATGTGATACATAATTTTTAGAAACAACTACATATGATCGCTCACGGAAGAAGAAAAGTACACTAAGTTTAGTTCGGGAAAATACATATCAAGGGACCATTTGGAACTTAAAACTAAAAAACCACCTGTTTGAAATTCCCGTGAACAAGAGCTATCGTCCAAATGGTGTTCTTGCATCTTAACCGAATCGACTGTGTTAGAAATGCATTCCAAACAAACATATTATCATATGGCATCCCTTCTTCACCCATCGATAACACATTCTTCTGTAAGCTTTGCATTACAGGATAAGTATAGCTATAGAAAAAATCATTCATCAAGTCGACACTGGATAAAAGCTTCCTGTACCTGTATTGTAAGGAAATCTTATCAATTGGGACAAATATATCAAAGCTATCTTTTATATCAAACACGCTTTTTATCCTTGCAAAATAACTTTTTTACACTAATTACGTCTCGAAACAGAACCATGCGACATATCAAGAGAAAAAAAAAAAAAAAAAAAAAAAAAAAAAAAAAAAAAAAAAAAGGGAAAAACCTAATCATTTCAGCTTGATGCACCCAAATCTAAAGAGCTTATTTCGGAAAATAATTTAATGCCATTTTTCGTTACTCAAGCAAATAGCCTAAGTAGAGTGAAGATCGTAGATTCTACTATGTCATGTTACCACTATAGATGATCAGGACATATCACTGCTTTTTTACATTTATTAGCGCATCACAATTCACATGTAGAAAGCTAATTATTAAAATGAAAACAGGTAAACAATAACAGTTACCTCAGCTCAGTTTTCGAATGAGCAATATCAGTTTGAACTGAAACATGTGGGATGGTGATTATTTGGCTCTCGTCTATGCTATATATCGCATGACCACAAATGCAGCCAATCTGCCGCCGTTTCCTCACCAGTATCATATAGTAGGACTCCAAGAATTTGATGCAGCCTACAAGGCAACAAAATAAAGAATAAATAAAAGGATAAGACTGCACAAAGAAAACAAAACATTTGACAATTGAATTCAAACTTTTGTGAATATTATTTCATTCATATTAACTCTGCATTTTACTTACCAACAATGCCGTAGACCTTGGCCACGAAATTTAAGCCTCCCGTAGCACGATTTCCCTCGGCAATCCTCTGGAGCAAGCTCTTTACTTCTTGTGGTGGATAAACCACGGGGTCTTCGCTTATATTCAAATCGGAAGGTTCCATTCTGTCGATCTTTAAAACCCGGAAGAACTTCTTGTTCCTATCACTTCCGATCAGGTAAAACCTCTGGAGAAAATCAAGGTAGCATGAGGCCACATTACAAACATAGAAGGGCTGTTGATGCATCTGATAACTTCCAATCATGAAAAAGAATCTTAACAGAAAATTTGCATAATCCATATGGAAACTGCACTCTAGGGTTTAATGCTTAATCTTACACAAGTAAACAATCAAGCTGGCATAATGTTCTAACCACCTATGACCAACTCCAAAATCAACCAGAGACAGATCGTTAGCATAATTTAGATAAAACTACAGAAAAAAAATCAAAACTTGATCAAGATTCAGCTAACAATCAACAAAAAAAGTTGGGGGAAACAAAAACAGAAGAGGATTAAATTAAAATCAATAGTCTTCCTTTACTCAACCTAACTTACAGCGCGAGTCTCATAGAGGCGGAATTTCTCCAGAGAATATGAATTCGGGTCGGGAGGGCTCTCCGGATCGGCTGTCGGGTGGATTTTGGACGGATTCGACCCGGACAATGGCGGGAGGTTCACTGAATTGGATTTGGGTTTCTCGGGTTTCGCCATTGCTCTACGGATAGAGCTCAGGTCGGGATTCGTTTTGATTATTGAGTTTCCTTCGTGCTGGGAAATTTTGGGCTTTTGCTCATTCGTTTCCGCCATTTTTGCTTAAATAGAAGTTATAGAACTGTGTTACTGCCTTTGTACGTGGGTGTTTGTTTTCTGATGCTCCGGTGAGTTTTGTTATTTTCATGTTGGAGTGGGAGCTTTGTTCCTTGTAGTGTTGTGTTTACATTCTAGGCTACCTCGGGCTATTTGCCTAGGAGTTAGCCCTGACATCTAAATTCAGCTGAATAGAGGTCAGCAAAATCGAGTCGAAACCAAAAAATCGCACCAAATTGAGCTAGTTAGTGCAGTTCGGTGCGATTTTTGATAAGTTGGTTATTGGTGAGGTTTGGGTTTTGAAAAACACCAAGTATTTCGATATGGTTCGATTTTCTGTCTGAAGGGTGCGGTTTTAATCGAACCGCACCGAATGTCATAAGATGTCATTTTTTTATTTTTTAATAAAATATTATCTTAATTTGTATAATTTTACTTACATAACATTAATTGGTGATTGTATTTTTTAATTTCAGTTAACCGAAAAACCGAACCACACCGGTTTTTCCTTCTATAGCGGTGCGGTTTGGTGAAAAAAATCAAAATTCATTCGGTTTTTTTCAGTGCGGTGCAGTTTTTGACTGAACCGCACCGATTCTCACCCCTACAGCTGAGTAGTTAACTTATTCGGCTATTTCATTGTCCTCTAGTTTTGTAAAGACGTATATTTTCTTATATTGAAAGCCTATGATTTTGAAAAAAAAAAAAATGTGTTATGCATATCAAATAGTTTAGGTTTTTTTTCGACAAATAGTTTAGGTTTGGATTGATGTAAATACACATAATTAATATAATTTCATATAAATCTATTCATTATCTATTTATCTTGTTTTATAATGTGAATATTATCTCACTTTCTAATATTTGTATTTTGTCTATATTATTTCTGATGTATTTTAAATAATTTTTTTATAAAGAAAACTAATGATGTATAGAAATTAATTTTCAAAATTTAAATAATATTGTTAATTCACTTAATTCTTTATTATTAATTGTTATATATATTTCCTTATTATTTTTCCAACCTTAAATCTTTCATTTGTTGTTCTACATTTAATTATTTAATTATTTATGTATATGTAGTTGATATTAGATTTTTAAATATTAGATGCTCATTAATAATAACTTGGTTGAACTTCTGACTTTTAAGTAGTGTTGTTAAATTAAACGAGTCAGACTCGACTCGTTAAGATTCGAGTTCGACTCGATCTCGAGGCCTTAAAGAGTTGAATTTGAGCTCATCTCATTTAAAGCTCGGTTAGGAGCTCGGCTCGATAATGCTCATTAAGGCTCGAAAAGATATTTTTTTATAATTTTGTTCGTTAAAGCTCAAACTCGACTCGTTAGTAATGATAAATGAGTAGAACTCGAGCTCGATTTCTTGCTTGTTTATTTAATAAGCCGAACTCGGCTCAGCTCGTTAAGGTATCGAGCACCGAAAGTTCGAGCTCGGCTCAACTTAGCTCATTTACAGGCATACTCTTGAATGTGTGGTTCTTGACTCGTGTGTAATGTGGCTCAAACTGAACCAAGAAACAATTTTAAGTACTTTTAAATACTTGACTTATGTGATCAAGAAGCAAGTTTAAATAAAGCCCACTTATGAGCTGAATATAAGCCCGCTTAATAGTCTCAGTTGTCACTTATGAGCTGAATATAAGCAAATTTCTCATTTTGATTTGCAATACATCATCTTTAACAATTGAATGGCCCAATAAGGTTGCAGTTCAGACTTCCTTAATAATAGAATGGCCCAATTAGGTTGCAGTACAGATCAAATCACCAGTAGTATTGCGATAGATTTTGCAGCCCAGTCGAGCCAAACAGCAATTGCAAACCGGTTCAAGTTTCTCATTTGAACCGGGACAAATCATGTAAGCATCCACAGCTATGCAGTAAAGTGGGCAAATTTTTGGTCTTGCTGATTGTGCACTGTATGCCATTACCAGCATTAATCCTGCTTAAAATAATAATAATAATAGTACATTACCAGCATTAATTCTGTTTAAAATAATAATAATAATAATAATAATAATAATAATAATAATAATAATAATAATAATAATAATAATAATAATAATAATAACAATAACAAAGAAATATACAAGGCATTCCCGAAAAAGAAATCAAGAAGCCGTCATACTTTTTCAACAAAAATGCATAAAAAAAAAATTGGTACATTTTGCAGTAAATAATAGAAAATATAAATATGGTTTATGGAGATTTAATGTAAAAGAGACAGTTACGTAACAAAATAAAATTGGTACATTTTGCAGTAAATATAAGAAAATATAGGGAGATGCTACGGTTCCTTTACGGGACCATTCTGTTGAAATTTGTAATCGTTAGATCAATTATATCCGACGGTTACTGGATGATCTAACGGTTACAAACCCAACATAATAATTCCGTAACGATACCGTAGCATTTCCCGAAAATATGTATATGGAATGTAGAGGTGTGAATAATAATACCAAAGAGGAGAAGAGTGAAGGACCAAACTCTAGTGGCAAATCCCATTTTTCCTCACAATATTCAGTATGCATTCATAACATTTGCAAGAAGTTGGGTATTTATAACCAAAAAAAGACATTATTACAATAAACTAATTAATTAATCAAAGGCATCCAAAAAAAAAAAAAAATGGTCACGGGCACACACCTACATATGTATTAAACTAAGTGTTACCAAGTCAAAGCCAACACAAAAATTTATTCATTTTATGAGAATAATAAAGAAGATCGCACAGCTTGGATGAGATGATTTGGGTCTCTTCCAGCTTAACCAATGGTCTCGTGTTCGAGCTCTGTGAATGCAGCAGTGTTAAAAACTCTTGAGGGAGAGCTTTGCCACCCTTGTGGTCCTACCCGGCTCGATTCCGGATTAGTCGGTTCTCCTGTGAATCCGAAAACCGGAAGGTCCATGTATCAAAAATAATAAAGAAGATCACAATTTCAAATCTCACACCATTATTCAATTATTATCCAAAAAAAAAAAAAGATGAATCTCTAGATTATGTTTTGCAGTTGACTTTGGATCATTTGGCTCCCAAATAAAGTTCGATAAATTTCAGTCATTTGATTTTTCACCGCTGAATCAAAACACTGCTCAAAACATTTACCAAATAATAAAAAAGTAAAAAAAAAAAAGAACAAAAAAAAAACTATGTAGCTGCATCCTGCATGGTCGAATATTCTCAACAGTTTAGGTTTTTGCGCACAACAAAGTCCCATCGTCGAGGTAAAACTGCATCCCTTTGGGGTAAAACAACAGTTACCGCATCCGGGTTTTACCGCTTGCCCGACCCGCAAACCATGTAAACTCCATCCAGGCAGTACAATGGGCAGCCTATGGTTGTACTTGCAGATTGCATAATTATGCACCCACATACTAGCATATATGTATAAAAAAAAATAATAATAATAATAAATAAAATAAAATAAAAAACTTTTAAAAATTAGAAACAATAATAACAATAGTAGTAGTACCAACAATAACAACAAAATGAATTTGAAATTTGTATATATAATTATATATATATAATTAATATTTTTACCAAATAGAAGAAGTGCCCAGGACTGAACTTTGGTGGTAGACACTACAAAAAAACACTACAATTCCAACGAAAAATTCAAACGGTAAAAAATTTCGTTGAAAATTTCAATGAATATTCCAACAAATTTAATTTTATGTTGGAATAAGTGTTGGATAGTTGAGGAATTCTAACGAATTTTTTCCGTTGTAATAGCTGTAGGAATTTATTTCCATAGGATTTTCCGTTGGATATTGCTATTCCAACAACCGTTTTTTCAACGGATATTTATACGTAGGAATATCCGTTGGAATAGATATTCCAATGGAAATATAAAAAATTCCATCGGAAAATTTTCCTTAGAATGTAAGAGTTCTTTTTGTAGTGAGATGCCATTTTTTTTCTCCTATGATAATTTGATAATTTTTCATATCACTAGCCCTTGAATATTTATACACAAATATATATATATATATATATAGCATCTACTATTAATGACAATGAAAATAATATTTTTGTTCTATTCTTGATAGTTGATGCATTATAATTAAAATATTAATGAAAGTGATGTTTGGGACTAGTTATATATGGACTAATTCACATTTTTCCAAGATCACAGGTCGTAAGTCAAGAGTTGCAGCCTGTTTTTCCACAAGTTGTATTGAAAGTCTAATCGTTAAGCGAATTAACCATTATATATATGCATATGTTGACAAAATTCGGAATGAAATATCATTTATTTTTTTACTGGTTCGTCAAATTTTGTATTTCAATTAAAAAATTATGCATAATTAATCTAAAATTATAAATATCTGTTGAAAAAATATATCGTATATTAGATCGACATAACAATAGTTTAATTATTCAATGGTTTAATTAATGACATAATATCGTGTTGGTCATGGCACAAGTCACTGGTTTAATTAATGTCATAATATCGTGTTGGTCATGGCACAAGATAAACAGAACTAATGGCGCACTTTGATTTTGATCTAACAAAAATTAGAGCACACACTTTGGGTTTCTTAATTAAAGAAAAATCAAGTGTCATAGAAAATAGACTAAGTCTAGAAAAAGGAGACTAAATCCACCTTGGGTCTATTTTAGACCGAAGTACAAACCTATCTAGTCATCAATTGTTCACAATTTTTTTTTTTTTATAGGCAAAACATATTCTTTTGTATGCATTTATTATTATGATATTTTTATTAGTTGTTGGGTATACTAGACCTAATAGCTTTTTTTTTGCATTGAATAGATTTCGGATTTTTTATCTTGAGTTTGTCTATGCCACTTAATCTATTTATTTGCCACATATACAAAA